AAGATTGATTTTATTTTTTCTTTTCCCTTGCTTTATTTCTTTCCTTTCTTCAAAGGATTCAACCCAAGCCCTTCTAGGAGTTGCTGGGCTCTGCCACTGTATCTTCCTTAAAATTTATCTAGAAGACACATAGTGGCTAAAAAATTCAAGGATTGCTTCCTGCAGCAGAGGGAAATTATTATGCTATACATAGAAGAATTTGCAAGTTTTGGAAACTTTTTGTCGTGTGATTAATGCATTAAACAAGCAGTGTCTGTGCTCCTGAACAGAAAGGTTGTAAAATAAGGAGGAGGCCTACTAACAAGAATTAAAAATGTCGGAGCCAAACTTTTACAGTGACCTTAGCATAATTGCTTCAGTTTATGGTGATGGTTTGTGGTAGGCAGTGCCTTGGGCTGGTATCCTCCAGTGCACCCAGCCCATGCCAAAGTCCAACCTTATCTCACGTTGCCTGATCCATTTCCCAACTGGGAGTTTCTCCTTCCCACCTTGCACTGGATTGTGAAACTTCTCTGTAAGCCCATTTAAGTCATTAACCTGGCAGAAACTACTTCAGCAAGAAATAAACACACAACATTAAAAATGGTAGGGTGGAGAAAGGATATACATGTATATTTTTTAACAGGCTAGTGTTCGTAACATCAGATCACAGAAGTACTGTTTGTGGATTACAGCCAGGAATGGAAGATGGTACAGCTGTTGCATTCACTTACTGGCCTTTGAAACTTCAGATTGCTGTACTTGGACCTGTGCTTTTGAGCTTTCTTTTATCTAACTAGGTCCTGGACCTGTCATTTTCTTTGCTCTGTAGAGTGTGGGGCTCTCTCTTTTCTGGCATGAAAAAACAGCTCACAGTTCAGCTCCTAAAATGCAGCGTTGGTCATCCTTGGGACTTCAGAATCACAGAATCACCAAGGTTGGAAAAGACCTACAAGGTCATCCATTCCAACTGTCTACCTATCGCCAATAGTTGTCACTAAACCATGTCCTTCAACACAGCGTCTTAATAACTTTGCAGAACACCTCCCCTGAGGTGCAGCTTTATGGTATGCTAGTGGCTGCCTGTGGACAGAGGTGTTTGCTCCACACATGAGGTTCATCTAAGGAACATATTGAGCAAGAAGAAAAAAATAATTTCTGTACTTATTTTGTCCCTATTCGTTCTTAAATCTGTTACTGCCTTGGCAACAGTTGGTCTCTCTAATTAAAAAAAAACTCCCTCTGCTGTAAATGCTGGTCTCTCCCAAGTCTTTTCAGTTCTGTGAAACTTCCTGTTTGCTTTTTAAAATAAGTAAATACTTCTATTACTGTTTTTAGCAGGATTTCCAGTCTCCCTTCATGTGACCCAGGTAGATCCTGCGTATTCCAAAATGCCTGCTGCTTTACCGAAGCTGTTCACGGTGGTTGACTTGAATAGGTTTTAAATGACTTAAAACATGCAGTAGTTAAATCAGAATTTGTAAAATGATCGTAGATTCAATAATTATACAGTAAATGTACTGTTTTCTCTTTTCTTCTTCCTAACAGATTGTACAGTAAAAAGGAATCTATATGATTATGACATGCAGATAGATTTTAAAAAGATAAAAAGAAAACTTTGTGTAGTTAATTACAGCTATTTTGTCTTAGGATGATCCCAAAGATGAGCATTGTCCTAGTTGTCTGAAACTGCTTATCTAACACTGTAGACAAGTGATTTTTTTCAGTCAGGAGACTGGAATTGCTGCTCAAAAAGCTTTTGTTCTGAAAACTGCTTGCTGGTTTCTTTGTTTAACAGATAAAATGGGCTGTTACACACATGCCTATTACATTGTTTTTTTTCCTACATTTACTAAAGACAGAATTTAAAATCCAAAGAATAGAAAAAAAATTAGGCAATGGTAATGCAAGCCTTGACAGAACAGTGCATTATCTTACTGCTGAATCATTTTAATTCATGTCTTTAAACTGTAATAATACAGAACATAGCATTTGCTGGATTTAGCACATTAATACTTCTTTGATGATAAAAGTGTGTCTTGTTCTACGCTTAATTACTCTTCCTTCACTTAGAATTCCACTTGACTCTATGCTTTTAATCAGAGAAAGTAGCTAGGAACTTTGACTTGCATTTGTGCCTCATCCTTACCAAATGGCTATTACATGGTGAAAACTGACAAAAAAAGCCTGTAACTGCTGAGCTGAACAGCTGCCTGCAGTTCTTTAGATTAAATTATGTATAGGAATGAACTGAGCTTTATGTTCAGCTGGTTTGTAAAAAGCCAGCCACATTTTTGAGAGAAAATGTTTAGTCAAAGCCTAGGTTGGTTGCTGGAAGTCTCATTCTAGTTTTGCTCTTCAGCTGTGAGTAGGGCTGGTTGAAGCCCAGTTGGTAACACAGATGAATAATATAGTTTTTGCCATGGAAAGGAAACAGGGGCCTGGCAAAACTAGAAAAAGAAGCAGAACTTGAGCTGTGTGTTATATATTTATATATATTTCAGCTGTGCGTTATATATTTGTGCCTGCAGTAGGCTCAGCCTTGCTTTTTAGAATCATAGAACCATAGAACATGCCGAGCTGGAAGGCACCAACAAGGATCACTGACTCCAACTCCTGGCTCCACACGTGAGCACCCAAAATTCAAACCATATGCCTGAGAGCACTGTCCAAATGCTTCTTGAACTCCCTCAGCTTGGGGCAGTGACCACTGCCCTAGGGAGCCTGTTCCACGGCCTGACCACCTTCTGGAGAAGAACCTTTTCCTAATCCCAAACCAGGCCCTCCCCTGACGCAGCCATTCGATTAGGACCTGTCATTGTCATAGAATCTTTTGAGTTGGAAGAGACCTTTCAGGATGATCTAGTCCAACTCCCCTGCAATGAACAGGAACTTCTACAGCTGCATCAGGTGCTCGGAGCTTTGTCCAGCCTGACCTTTACTGTCTCCAAGGATGGGGCTTCCACTGCTTCTCTGGGAAACCTGTTCCAGTGCCTCCACACCTTTATTCTAAGACACTTCTTCTTTATATCCAGTCTAAATCTCCCTTCTTTCAGTTTGAAAGTGTATTCCTTTGTCCTATTACCACAGACCCTGCTAAAGAGTCTGTCTCCTTCTTTCTTGTAGCCCCTCCTTTCTATTCTAAAAGGCCACTATCGGGTCTCCCTGGAGCCTTCTCTTCTCCAGGCTGAACAGCCCCAGCTCTTTCAGCCTGTCCTCACAGGAGAGGTGTTCCATCCTTGGATCATTTTTATGGCCCTCCTCTGGATGTGCTTTAACAAGTCCATGTCGCTCCTGTACTAAGGACTCCAAATCCGGATGCAGTACTCCAGGTGAGGTCTCACTAGCACAGAGTAGAGGAGTAGGATCCCCTCCATCAACCTGCAGACTACACTTCTTTTGATGTAGCCTGGGATATGGTTGGTTTTCTGAGCTGCAGGGGCTGGCTCATGTCCAGCTTTCATTCCACCAGAACCCCCAAGTCCTTTTCAGCAGGGCTGTGCTCCATCCCTACATCCCCCAGCTTGTACTGATAGTGGGGGTTGCTGTGATCAAGGTACGAGACCTTGTGCTTGGCTTTGTTGAACCTCATGAGGTTCTCCAGGATCCACTCCTTGAGCAGTTTAAGTCTCTGAATGCCATCTTGTTCCTTGGGTATGTCAACTGCACCACACAGCTTAGAATCATCTGCAAACTTGCTGAGGGTACACTCAATCCCACTGTTGTTGTCATTGATGAAGATGTTAAAGAGCACTGGTCCCAGTACTGACCTCTGAAGGATAACACTTGTCACTCATCTCCACTTGGACACTGAGCCATTGACACCACTCCCTAGGTAAAATTTTGAAACCAGTTCCTCATCCATTGAACAGTCCACCTATTCAGTTTGGAGAGAATGATTTTACTGGGATTGTGTTGAAAACCTTGCTAAAGTGGCTTATCCCTTGTCCACTGACACAGTTATGCCATCATAGAAAGCAACAAGGTTGGTCAGGCAGGACCTGCCCTTGTTGAAGCCATGCTGGTTATCTCATTACATCTCTCTCTCTTTTGTACACCTTAGCATAGCTACCAGGAGGATTACAGAGAAGAGATCTTCATGAGGAAGCTGCAGGCTGCTGTGAGGTCTCCCCTTAGTCTCCTCTTTTCTAAGTTGAACGTGTTTCGCACCAATGGTGCCATTCTGCCGCCTGAAAGCCATTGTCATCACAGGATTTAAATGTGTTATCAGTCATTCCACTGTAGTTTTCCTGAGTGGTGAGAAATGATAATGAAAACGTCATGGAGTTGTTGTATGGATAGGGCCTAATACCGTAACTAGTGCAAATGAAGAACCATCTAGCAGTCAGAGGAATGCAGAGACTTTTGTTTTGCCAGGGAAGTCCATCTTCCCCTGTAGTCTCCTCCTGTTCAACTCCCACTCATGAGACAGAGAAGCCTTGGCTTGCTTTGGTTTTTAAGCATGAAGTTCCTTGCAGTGTGTTGGATATATTAATTTTTAATCAGCATAGAAAATAATTGTGCAGAATTCTAAAAGCAAATGTTAATTCTACATGTTGGTGCTTTTACCAATAGAGTAAACACAATTTCTCCTATGTGTAGTCTAATTATAGACATAATAAAAGAGAAAAAGTTCTTCAGAAAACAGATTGCTGGGGCAGAAAGGCAAAAGTGTGTGTGCTTCTTGTGTTGCGGGTGTTGTGGGGTTTTGTTTTCTTTTAAAACTCTCAGTTCTACAAACCTTTTCAAGAGGGAAGAAGCATCAAAAAGTCTGATAATGAAGAGAGAAATAAATAAACTTTTTAACCAGTGTTGGAATACAAAGCCAAGCCTTGCATTCTAATGAATGGTTGTGCACACTCATGGTACCTATGGACGAGGTTTGCATACAGCTGTACAAGTTCCTCTGTGAAGGCTGCTGGCCCTTTGTGCCTCTCAATCTCATACAAAAACTACTGCTCTTTGAGAATTGGTATGGGCACTGATGCATGTAAATAATATACATACTATGCCTCTCACAGGTGGATTTGCTGAATTCTCCAGCTGTTTCCCTGGTCTCTGTGAAGGAAAATCCACGCTTGTCCCTACTTGCATTTCTCAACCCTGTCTACCAGTCTCTAACATTGGCCCAACCAGGATTCTGCCTCATCTCTATCTGGGGTGTCAGCGGGATGTCCTCAACAAGGTGAGCATTCTGCATGCTATGCTGATGAGTATATAATGTCTATCCGTGCTTCTGTCATACTATATCATTGCAGCTGTAGAACATCTGAAGTAGATCTAGGTGATAGGAGTAAAGAACTTGCTGGGTAAAGAACTGGCTGGATGGTGGGCCCAAAGAGAGTTGGTGAATAGAGGTAAATCCAGCCGGTGACTGGTCACGAGTGGTGTTACCCAGGGGTCAGTGTTGGGACCTGTCCTGTTTAATATCTTTATTGATTACCTGAGTGAGGACATTGGGTGCACACTCAGGAAGTTTGCAGATGACACCAAGTTGGGGGGAAGTATCAATCTACCTGGGGGTAGGAAGGCCCTACAGAGGGATCTGGGCAGGCTGAATAGCTGGGCTGAGGCCAATGGGATGAAGTTCAACAAGACCAAGTGCTGGGTCCTGTACTTTGGCCACAACAACCCCAGGCAACTCTGCAGGCTTGGGCAGAGCGGCTGGAAGACTGTGTAAAGGAAATGGACCTGGAGTTATTGATTGATGCTCAACTGAACATGAGCCAGCAGTGTGTCCAGGTGGCCAAGAAGGCCAATGGCATCATGGGTTGTATCAGACATAGTGTTGCCAGAAGGAGCACAGAAGTGATCATCTCTGTACTCAGCACCGGTGAGGCTTCACCTTGAGTACTGTGTTCAGTTTTGGGGCCCTCACTACAAGAAAGACATTGAGGCCCTGGAGTGTGTTCAGAGAAGGGCGATGAAGCTGGTGAGGGGTCTGCATCACAAGTGTTATGAGGGGCTGCTGAGGGCCTCTTCTCTCAAACAACTAGAGATAGGACTAGAGAGAATTGCCTCAAGTTGTTCCAGGGGAGATTCTGGTTGGACATTGGGAAATAATTGTCTGAAAGAGTGGACAGCTACTGGAGTGGGCTGCCCAGAGAGGTGGTAGAGTCACCGACCCTGGAGGTGTTCAAGAAACATTTAGATGTTGTACTGAGGGACTTTGTTTAGAAGGAAATATTGATGACAGGTGGATGGCTGGACTGGGTAATCTTGTAGGTCTTTTCTAACCTTGGTGATTCTGTGATTCTGTAGCCTTCCACGGCTTGCACACAGCAATCTTGATGAGAACAAATATTATACTGTCCACCTAATTAAGCCACACGCCATCTAATTGATTTCCTCTCTCTCCTTCCTCATGGAGAAGTTGATGTCATACCTTCCTCAGTAACCTGCCAACCAACAGCAAGCTATTAAATCTGCCATTACAGTAGGCCAGGTAGTTTATTGTGTATAGCACCAACTAGTTTGTTTTGGCATATGTTGGATATTTATACAACTGTATTAGTAGCTATGATGTCACAAAATAAAGATTGTCTGTTTTTCAGTATTTTCTTTAAGTGTTTACATATGTGCCTTTTATCCATGTATAAAGCTAAAGATTGGAACTACCATAATAGTCCTAAAAATTGATCATTTTCTTAAGATCCAATTGATGAAAGGATATAAAACTATTAGAATCTGCTCAAAGAAGGACTAAAAAAATGCTTTAGAGTCTGGAGGGGATGACATGAGGAACACCTGAAGTCCCTTGATTTATTCAGGCCAGAGAAAAAGAGACTGAGGGAAGACCTCATCACAGCCTACAACTTCCTCATGAGGGGACCAGAGGGGCAGACGCTGATGTCTTTCTGGTGATCAGCGATAGAACCTGAGGGAAAGGGATAAAGTTGTAACAAGGGAAGTTCAGGTTGGATATCAGAAAAAAGTTCTTCACTGAGAAGATCGTCAGGCACTGGAATAGGTTCCCCAGGACAGTGACCATGGGCACAAGCTTCAGGAGTTCAAGAAATGTTTGTACAGTGCTCTCAGACACATGGTCTGATTTTTGGTTGGTCCTGTGTGGAGCTAGGAATTGGACTCAGTGATCCTTGTAAGTCCCTTCCAACTTGGGATATTCCATCAGTCAATTATATACTTTATCATATTCTCATGGATTTCTTCTACTTTTCAGTCCATCCCAGTCTTGCTTTTAAAAGGCTATTTTGGGATATTCCACAATTTATAATGGGGTTTTTGACTAACAGGGAATCATTTAGAAGATATGTGTACTTTTAAGGAACATACAAAAAAAAAAAAAAAAAAAAAAAAGAATACAAAGGACCATCAGCAGTCTTTGTATATATCTCATCCTTTAAGATCTTCAGCAACTTTGGTGCCAGACAGCAAGTCAGCAGTTCAGACCTGATTCGCTTAAGATGGACGTCAAAACGACTTATTTTTCTTACTATTTTTCTTACTTCAAAAATGGTTTGTCATCCTCAGATAAAAGACAACAGGTAAACTTAAACCAAGTAAATGAAAAAATAAATAAATTATTTTCCAGTGTGGCCAGGGCTCTTGAGTGAATAATCCCCAGAGATGAAAGAGGATGTTCCCTTTACTTGCAGTAAACTGATTCCTGTAAGTAGATGTTATGCATCAGCATGGTACATGGGCCTCCTCAGGAAAGCAATCCAAGTGGTAGTGGTGGTCAGGAATTTCCTTGTAGAACTAGAGTAGTCAAAAATCACAACTGCCACTGGTAAGCCCTGAGTGTAGCAGAGCACTCTACAAGAGAGTAGACACTTGGCGGTGTCTCCCATGCCCATCAGTTTACAGTCTTGATATTATATCAACATTTGTCCATCACAGCTGCAGTTGTATATACTTTAGAATTAATGTAGGACCCATGGGAGTTGGACAGATTTGTACTTCTTCACCTCATAAATTTCTTATCTGTTTTTAGGACAAATACACATTTTATGATTTCATATTTGCTTGTACAATTTTCATACATGATAAAAGTAACAGGCAATTCTTTATCACAGAATCACAGAATCACAGAATCACCCGGGTTGGAAGGGACCTCAAGGATCATGTAGTTCCAACCCCCCTGCCTAGCAGGGCCACCAAACGTACACATTCAGATCAGGTTGCCCAGGACCCCGTCCAACCTGGCCTTAAACACGTCCAAGGACGGGGCATCCACAACCTCCCTGGGCAGCCCGTTCCAGGGCCTAACCACTCTCCTTGTAAAGAACTTCCCCCTAACATCCAACCTAAATCTTCCCTCCTTCAACTTGGATCCATTTCCCCTAGTCCTGCTGTTATCAGCCCTTTTGAAGAGTTTACTCCCCTCCTGGGTGTAGGTTCCCTTCAGGTATTGATAGGCTGCAATGAGGTCACCCCGCAGCCTTCTCTTCTCCAGGCTGAACAAGCCCAACTCCCTCAGCCTGTCCTCATAGGGGAGGTGCTCCAGCCCCCTGATCATCTTAGTCGCCCTCCTCTGGACCCTTTCCCAAATCTCAATGTCTTTCTTGTACTGAGAAACTTTCTTGTACTTGTACTTTCTTGTACTTTATTCTGAGCATGTTACTTGTTCACTGCACTGAAATGGACCTTAGTAACTCAAATGGCGTCTTGGTACCTCATCTCATGCAGTCAGTTTTGGTGACTGTGAGTGGAAAGACTTAAGTGGCTCCTGGCTTAAATGTTGGTGTGGGAACATTTGAACCTACCTCTCAGAATGCATTTGGTATTGTCCCATCTATTGGTAACTCCTCATTTCCTATTTTAATCAGTTTCTTGAGATCCAACTCAAAGACAGTGATAGCTTGAGATCACGACTGTAGAAATGCCAAGGGCAGAAAGATGCTCCATGTGGCTTGTAATTTCTGCTGCTCTTCCTTCCACACTTTGCTTTGTGGGTAGCCTGGATGCTACACAAGGCTTTTAGGAAGAGCAAGCAGGATGCTTCTCAATACACAGAATGCTCAGAACTACCAATACATGATATAAAAGCTGGGAAGTGAAGCACATTCAAAAGGAGAGAGTGAAAAAGAAAAACCAGTCATTAGTAGCAGAGGTCTGTCTCCATTATGACAGTCAAGAAGATGGTAAGTGGTTAAGTTCATGTGCTCAAGTTTCATGACCTAACTGCTTTCGTCAGTTCCTGGGGACAGTAAGAAGTCAGCATTGTGTGAAGATGATAATAGTGACTTTAATTCAAGTTCAGATTTTTAAAAATACTTTTCTAGAAAATTCAAGCAAGATTCCCAGCACTGTAAAATATGGTTGTTCGCACTGACTGTACTTTTGCCTTCAGATGCTACCTGTGAGGTCCCATTATCTCACTACTGACCAGACATACTGATTTCCCTAAAATCCAAATGTCTAAAATACTTGCAAAAACCCTCTATTTGCAATTCAGTTGAGCAAAGTAATTGAAAGATGTGAATTTTCAGCATGGTTTGTCAAGATGAGGTAAACTTTTCAGATCTTTTAGAGGATAATCTCTGAGTGCATGAGGGGGGGAAATTTGTCTTGAACAGATTGTCCTGTAACGTGACCTTTTAGAACACTGATGCTGTTTGCCACTACTACCTCTACTGATAATGATTTATGTATGAAAAACAAGCAAATGCAAATGTTTGGGTTGTGTCCTTGAGGACAATTAATGATGGCTTCAGAAAATAATTAGGAGATTACTTATATTTTTGCTTAAGAAATTTATTTTTAAATGCTTAATTCTGAAAATGTCTGTACCATTCTGTGCAGTGACAAAGCACTAAGAACCTCATGGAGTTTCTGAACCAGCTTTCCAATGTGTTGTTTAACAATCTGGTGATCAATGGTGTTGCTTTATCTAAATACATGTATTTGCAGAAAGTGTACTTGTTTCACCATTATCAGTTCTCTTTTACTGTAGTTGATAAAGAAGCCCATTTCACTTTCTGGGTCTCAGTCTTTGATATATTGTTGACTATTGATATCAGATCGCATTGCAAGAGGCTGCTTTGCTCATCTTTGTTGATGTTCAGATTTGAGAAAATAAGACAAACTCAAGTTTTCTGCTTACATCACAAATTTTGTACCAGCATTTGAGCAGTAAGGTTCTGCTTTGCTCCTTACATAACTATCATGTTGTTGTTTTTTTTTCTTCCAGACCTGGATTTTATTTCCTGGAACAAACTAACAGTGTAGGGTGTCATTAATTCTAAGATTAAACAAATCATAAAATGTAAATAAGCTGACAAATGAGCATTTATCTTCTTTTCACAAAGCTGTTAGTACTAGGATTTCTGGATTTTCCTTCCATCATAATTCACTTCTTCCTCTTGGGTGCCTTACAGTGAAGACACTGTTATGGTTATTGTATTACAGTGTGCTGCATAAGGATTTACTGATACTTTAGAACAGAAGGAGTGTAACTTCTTTCTTCAGACTTGGTCTCAAAGATGAGTACTAACACATTTCTGGGTGTCTTTTTGGCTCAGTACTTTCAGACTTAGTGTCTGCAGCCTTTTAATTCCTATTTGAGTAATCGAATTCCAAATTCATCAGCTTTCCAGCGCTTCTCACTGCAAATTTAATTTATGCTTGCCTATATATATGCGTGCCTGTGTTCAGCCCTTCTACATATACACCACAACGTACACACTGTACCTGTGTAGTAAACATTACAGTTTATTTAACCTGATTTGAACAAGATAGATACTTCAGACATACTGCCATGTCCCTGTTTCTCCTCTTGCTATTGCTCCTTGTTTGGCATAATTGTACTTTTTAATATAACTGCTGTAAAAACTAAAGAATTACAATCAGAATTCTGGGTTTTTTGTTTTTTGTTTTCCTTCTTTTTTGTGTTTGGTTTAAATCAAAATCTGGCAAAAGATTTCCCCTTACAAGTATCTGTACAGCTACTGTCACTGCTTACCACATCATACCTGTAACAGAATGGTGGTTTGATAATGAATACATTAACTTGCTTACTTTTCTGTGGCAAGGTCCTTACTTTAAGGAGATTGGGTGGACGTTTTGTGGAGTGACCTAGCAGTTGTTTCTAGTACTCAGGCACCAAGGTGCCTGCTGCATCAAAGGCTGCTTTGTGACACAATTCTAAATTCAAAGAACATAGCAAGATGCAACATTTGTTTGTTTATTTTGCAACCATGACAATCATTTTACTTAAAAGGCCCAGCTGATTGCATGCTTTGAGTCCTTTCTTGTTCCTGTGACAATTCTGGAGGACTAAAGACTGAAAACTGAAATAGGGGCAATCTCAGACCATAAAACTGCAGTTAGTGCTGCACAGAAGCAGCCTACTTCAAGGTCTTGGTTTCGAACGAATTTCACACCTTGCCTTTGAAATAAAAAAGTCCTGGGTACTTGAAGAGGTGACTGCAGGAAGCATCAGTTTCATTTCACATTTCTTATTATCTGTGATGGGAAAATCTCATCTGGGATAAGTGATCCTCAACACGTATTCAGGTCAGCAAACTGCGCATGGGAAATGTTTGATTATGTTGTCATCGTGCAGGGTGAGAATTTAAACCAAAGTAGCAAAAAAACCAAACTGATTCTCTTGGAAGTGATGCTTCCTAGGAACAGATGGTATTCTGCCATTATTTCTGTTGTTAATTTTGTTCTTCTAAAATTTGCAGTTCATAGGCTACTTGAACATTCCGGACGTCTCATTAAAAGCTGTTTGAATAGTCAAAGGCTTAACAGTGATCTTTTTCAAAAAACAGTGCCCCTTCTTGTTATGTACATTTGAGTTCATGATTTCTTCGTAGTGCTCCAAAGGTATTTTTTGACTGATCTGCTTTTAATCTTTCTCTTTCATAGGAGATGATCCAGCAGAATGATATTGGATATGTACTAAATGCCAGTAATACTTGTCCAAAGCCCGATTTCATTCCAGAATCCCATTTTTTGAGAGTGCCTGTGAACGACAGCTTTTGTGAGAAGATTTTGCCTTGGTTGGATAAATCAGTTGATTTTATAGGTGAGAAGAAACTTTATATTGGCTCTCTAAAACACTTTCTGGATTACTCTGTGTGTCTGCCTCCAATTTTGGCTGGAGAAGACCAGAATTCTTTCTGGGTGGTATGAAAATACCCTAAGGATCTGCATATACGATCACCATCACTTCATAAACACAGAACCAAAGTAACCAAAGAAGGGAGATTCTGCCACTGCGTGTTCCAGCACTTACAGAACAAAGACACTTTTTAAGAGCACAGCTTTGCTTTCTGGCAACCTGCTAGATGCGTGATATATGCCTGCAGAGAGTGAATTAGAAAATTAGACATACAGATCCTGTCTTTGAGCAGTAAGCTAACAGATAAACTGGCCAAGTCGTTTCTAATCTTACATACAAGCAAAAAGCAAGTGTTTGTGATGGAACAGTCAGCTTTCCCAGAAATCTAGATGTGGGTTGTTTATGTGCATGTTAAAGTAAATGCAGCATGCTGTAACTGCAGTGCATTTCCTCTGTGTAGTCATGTGTTTTTTCTATACCGAATGCAGAGATTGAGAAAATAAATAATTGTTGTTCAAAGCTTCCATGAAATCTGTAATTGGCAGCCATTTTTGGAAGTTCTGAACAATTTCAAGATAACATTGCTTTCCTTGCAAAGTTCTCATCATAATATAATGCTGCTGATTTCTTTGGTATGCAGAAAAAGCAAAAGCATCAAATGGCCGTGTGTTAGTGCACTGCTTAGCTGGAATATCTCGTTCTGCCACAATTGCTATTGCATACATCATGAAGAGAATGGATATGTCCTTAGATGAAGCTTACAGGTAAGGAGAAAGTTTCCCTTCATGTTAACTCTTGTGTCTGGCAGCCTGTTTTTGAAGCGGTAAAAGGTTGTACGACCAAGTGCAGAAGCAGGCGTGTTACTTTATGATGTAGCTCATTGGCCTGTAGGCATTCTTGCTTTAAATGTAGGCTTCCACCATAAACAAATGAGTGGTTGTGTGCAGACATTGTGCACCGAATGTTCATTCAAAGTGCTGATGTTGGCCTTTGCTCTGAGTAGGCAAATAAATGAAATTTAAACCGCATATGTACCTATATATACACAGATATATCATACAGAACACTGTCCTGCAAGCTGAAGAGAGAATGAAATGGAGAAAGAATGAGAACTGAGGATATTTATAATCCCGTTTCTGACAAATGCAAGGCTGGATTCATTTAATTCAGTTTGGCACTTGCTAATGCTCTCAAAGAAGTGCCTGCAAGTAAAATGCATATGAATTAAGGAAGCAACTTTGTTGCTGTTAATTTCCAACAAAAACTCTTGGACAAAGTATTTTCAGGTATAAGCACTATGTGGGATTAGGGAATTCTTGAGGGAACCCCCTCACACACTTTTTCCACCTTCAAATCACAGTATTTCTGTACTTGTATTGTGAACACTACATTCCACATGACTTGACTGCAGTTTACCACAGCTTCTCTGTTTCAGCTGACAAACTTCTTTTTGTTCCTGCATAGCACAGGAAACGCTGCCTTCCTTCTTGACAGACCTTGCAGGCTAATTGGCAGAGCTGATGCACCTCCATTACGTGCGTCACACAGAAGCAGTTTGAATAATTGTGCTGGAGCAGCTTGAGAGGAGCACCTTCCAAATCACTGTTGTGTTTGCTAGCACTATCTCTAAAAACAGAGATGGGAACAGAAAGATGAACAGTTTTCATGGGACACGTTCTTTTAAGTTGCTTATGGCATGTAAGAAATGCCATCTCTTCCATGTAAGAGGTGCCAGAGCTGCAGATGTCCCCCATAGCATTTAACAATCTGCAGAAAGATTTCTGCCACTGCTTACTGACTGTTTGGTTAGTTAGGTATGATGAAGTAGGTTTGGCTTGTTAAGAAGCAGAGGTGAAACTTTAGAGGGACACAGCGAGAGACTGTAGATGCACTGCTGGATGCAGATGGTTACTGTGCAAGGCATGAGCTTGATTCCCTGAGCAGCTGGTCTGATCCCAGACTGCAGGTCTGGAGGTGAGAGCTGTACAGTACTGAATGCTTCTTAAAGGCACACCTCAGTGAGCTTTCACTGAGCAAGAAGTGCTTCTTTGTTCTTTCCACGACACATCCTTGACCTTTTTTTTTTTCTTTGCACTGTAAATGCTGAACAACTACTGTGAAACTTTGACTTTATTTTAATGTATTTCCTTTGATATGATTTAGTGAGAAAGGTCTGCAGCACATTTCACTTATTGGTTTGGAATCTTTAGCTAGCAAAGCTTAAAAGGAAAGTACTTTTTCTGGTTTGATGAAAGGTATTAGATAAAATGTTTGTCTGGAACTTCTAAAAAAATACAAGGTGACACTAAATGTTACTTGAAATGAAAGATCTGAGGAAATACACTATTTTCATCTTTTGTTTGATTTGTAGAGTGGACTATGCAAGGGAAACAAACATCACCATTTAAATATTTTGCATATTTTTCAATAAGAAAAGGCGTGCATTTTGAAATGACAAGTTTTGCAAAGCCTTGTAACTTGGCAGAAGGGATCAAGGAGACTTTCTTGATGCCTTTTTCAAGTTAAAAAAAGCTAGTTTTAAAGTTAAAACTGTCTTATATTTTGGAGTGGGAGGAGAGAAAAGTTGAGGGAATGGGGTTGCTCTTCATAGTGGAAATTTCCACCATCACTTTGTGCAATCTGCTCTTGCAGGTCATAACATCAGCTTGACTATTCGCTCCTATTCAGATGATTAGCAAAAAATAACAGTGCCTGCTGTGTTCAAAAAACTTGGTGTCCTTGAAGTTGTTGCAACGTCAAAAAAAACCACAAAACCCTTCTTTTTTGTATTGTCGTGTGCTTGCATTTATGCCCCCGTGTATGTATACGCATGAGTACACCTTAGAATTTTTCTCATGCCATTTTTAAAACCACACACTCACTTTTTGCATGTGTCACCAGAGAGATTTGCTGCCTTTAATAATATTTAATTTCTTCGTTATGTGTGTGATTGCAGTAGGTTTAGCTATTCAAGCTCTCTTCTCCTGTTAATTCCCTTGTCATCTGCTACCTTCACCGCTCAGGAATGGGAAGGGAAAAAAAAAAAACAAAGAGGGATTTGGACAGCCTCCTCTTTTACAGTCAGTAAAAATACAAACTTTTTTAGCTGCACTACAAATCAGGCAAAGTCTCCTGCCATATTTAATTCTGAATTACACAATGTGACTTCAATACTGAAGTTTTTCATTCATGTGCAGTCCTGATTCAGGAACATGTTTTGAAGTTATGGCTTGCAGGTTGTTCATATTCAAAGTGCATGACTGCATAAGTATGAGAGTTAGGCTGTTTCCTTCAGGACTGGAGAATACTTATTACGTGGATTCGGTGACGCTGTTACTCTTTTACTGTCTGAACACAGGCTGAATGATTTTTTAATGCTGCATTTGCTCATTTTCCTTTTTGATGATCACATCAGTGGTCAATATCAGTATGGCAGAAGTGACTGGCATTTGCTGTGCAAGGTCAGCATTCATGAGAGCAATCTCTTGACAAAGGTAAAACGGGACAGGAAGCGCTGATGGCATGAAAGAGAGAGGAGAAAGAAGTATGGGATTCCAGCCACTCAGACAGTGAGGACAAGTGCTCTGCTTTCTGCTTCGGCGCTGTTCTCAACACTGGAGGAGCTCTTAGATTCAGCCAGAGACCAAAAATAGCAATGACACAGTAGAATAAACGATTTCTTCAAACCTTGCTGTAGACACCATAAAGAGGTAAACTGAAAGCTTTCTTTCCTCCATCTTTAGCTGCCTTTAGGTAATAAAGAGTTGAGAGAACCCATCATTACATTGCATAAAAGCTGTCCTCTTTTCCATTCTTAAGTTATCCATGCTTGTCAGAACCTCAGGCGAAGCATCCTGACGGGTATTAGGCTGCTAACCTTAGGATGAGTGCTCTAAGTGTTATTTCAAGTCTGAGCGAGTTCTTAAAATAATTTGTTCTTCTCTTTCCAGATTTGTGAAAGAAAAAAGGCCGACCATTTCTCCCAACTTCAACTTTCTGGGCCAGCTTTTGGACTTTGAGAAAAAAATCAAGAACCAGAGCGGTCAGCCTGGACACATCAGCAAGCTGAAACTTCTGCACTTGGAGAAAAGCGGCGAGCACGTGCTGGTGCCAGAGGGGGGGCAGAGCAGCCTCGCCACGAGTCAGCTCTGCATCACTGCTACCTCAGAGATCGTAGAACCGAAGCCCGCAGACCCCGGCAACATGCCATGCACTCACTTGCCCTCGCTGGAGGACAGCCCACTGGTACAGGGCATAAATGGGCTGCACGTCTCCCTAGATAAGGTAGAAGACAGTAACCGGCTGAAGCGCTCCTTTTCACTGGATATCAAATCTGTGTCCTACTCTGCCACTAGCAGCTGTGTGACTGCATCAGTGCAGGGCTTCACCTCTTCCGAAGACACCCTGGAGTACTATAAACATGCAACAGCTTTAGAGGGAAGCAGCAAGCTGTGTCAGTTCTCCCCTGTGCAGGAGGTCTCAGAGCAGACCCCAGAAGCCAGCCCTGATAAAGAGGAAGCAAACCCTCCAAAGAAGCCCCAGAATGCCTGGCAGCTGGATAGCCAGAGCAAGCGGCACGTGGGGAGATCCAGCAGCGGTGCAGTCACTCAGCGGGCACTCCTGTACCCGCTGCACCGGAGCGGGAGCATGGAAGACAACTACCGAACGAACTTCTTGTTTGGGCTCTCCACCAGCCAGCAGCACTTGGCGAAATCTGCGGCTGGGCTGGGCCTCAAAGGCTGGCACTCGGACATCTTGGCTCCTCAGACATCGGCCCCATCCCTTACCAACAGCTGGTACTTTGCAGCCGAGTCCTCACATTTCTACTCTGCCTCTGCCATCTATGGGAACAGTGCTGCCTACTCTGCCTACAGCTGCAGCCAGCTGCCCACGGGCTGCGAGCAAGCCTGTGCTGTGCGCAGGAGGACGAAGCAGGGCAACCGCGGAGACTCCAGGCGGAGCTGGCACGAGGAGAGTTCTTTTGAAAAGCAGTTTAAACGCAGAAGCTGCCAGATGGAGTTTGGGGAAAGCATCATATCGGACAACAGATCCAGAGAAGAACTGGGGAAGGTGGGCAGTCAGTCGAGCTTTTCGGGCAGCATGGAAATCATTGAAGTGTCCTGAGGAACGGTGGACTAGTGTGACTGTAGCGGAGGCGCTCCCCCTCCAGTTCCCTGCAGGTCTGAAAAGGACAAACCCTGCGCAGAAGGGGGAGGGAGGAGACATGGAGCTTTGGTGGGAGCACAGTGACTAGATTGATAGAGCAAGGCAACAAGAGAACATCCGCATGAGGAGACTGAGCCTACCATTGGGGTCTTCTCCTCCCACCCTGGAGAAGGGCAGAACATTTCAAAGATTTTCCCCTGACACAGGAAGCAATTACGTGCAATGGATTGCACATCCTTTCAGTGTTTTCAGAAAGGAAACTCTCTTGGTACCAGACCATTTCTCTGCTTCCACTGAAACACGCTCCTACCCATCAAAGCTAGTTTTATTCTCCCCTCCTCAAGCCCCAAGTCCTCACCAGTGCACCTTAGCTCTGATGCTGAGCCAACCTCTGGAAGGAGACCTGAGGAGAAAGGAGGCTGGGAGTGATTCCAAAGGAACTAGGGACTGGTTGCAGCAAGGCTGGTCTGAAAAGACAATTCAGACAAATGTAAATACTGGTGTAACTATTGTTCTAATGGATAGGCTTTAGGTGATTTTCTAGAGAGCTGCTTCAGAGAAGAAACCAGTACCTCAAAAATATAACAGACTAGGGCTTTATGGCTGCCGGATGCCGGTAGTCAGTTGGTAAGCAATGTGAACAAGTAACAACTAGCCACGTTGGATTTTTTTTAAAGCTGTCTACGCACAAGTGTTTCAGTTGGCCTAGCAGTAATTCTTAAGACAAGTGATCTGTATTTGTGGCCATTTCCCCCATTCTTTTGAAACGTAAAATAAGCAGTGTTTGTATTTCAGCTATTAAGCTGGCTTCTGGGAGAGGGACAGTTTGGCTTCTAAGCTGTAATGGAGCAGTTACCACTTAAGATGACAGAGAAGTGGCTAGTACAATGCCACAAAGCCCTCTTCTGGACAATTAACAATTCAACAGATGGCTCTAGAAAAAAGGGGTTGTAAGCTCCCGTGAGCTGGGGTTTTGTTCTGAACTGAGGGCTACCGTACTGGCCTGTTTTTCATACCCAGCTCCAGTCTACGTGTGGGATGAGAGTGATTCATGGTTTTGTTTTTTTTCCCCCCCACCATCTTCACCCAGACTGAGGACTCTGAGGCAGATGCCCGTTTCAGGTTTGCTGACTTCATTTGAGAAAGAGGTCTGTTCATGTGTCCAGGGAAAACAGAAAGGGGAACTCCAAAGTCCCATCTCATAATGCAGTGGGAAAGAAACAAGAGTTTGAGAAGACAGCTTTAATGGAAAGCCTGCTCACCTCCTGCACTTGCAGATCCAAAGGAACTTCAGTTTTGGCTGCTGTCCTCTGTCCCAGCTTAGGGTCCTGGTTTCCCAGTGTGCTGATGCAGAATTTGGCTGCAATTGCCTCTAGTTGCTCTGCCACGGGCCAGCGTTCTGTTTTCTGATCTCCACCAACCAAGAATGTGCCACGGTGAGGAGGTATTTTTTCCCCACTGCCAGCGAGGTGTTTCATGGGAGATGAGGCACGGCCTCCTTGTGTTGTTTTTGACAGAGAACCAGCTGCTTCCCCTGCAGCATGCCATTCTTGTGGTATGTCAGCTGCTGCTGTGCATGCACAGCGCTGTGCCGAGCTGGCAGTGGGCAAGGAGCGGGAGCAGATGCGCAGTGCAGAGCTCCGTCTTCCCCCTGGTGCTGGGATGGAAGCTGCACACGTGTTAGCTTGGGCTTCCCCGAGGCCCCACAGAACGCAGATGTGGGGGGAAATATATTGTTTTGTCCAATTTCAGTGCAGGCGGCTGAAAACTGTAAATCACATGTAACAAAAACCTACCCCTGGCCAACAGCTTTAAAAAAAAATTGTCTGCGGCAAACTGAAGCCCTAATTCAAGTCAGCAGCTTGGGTGTTGTTTTTTTTTTTACTGTAAGTTTAGCTAGTTTGTGACTCAAATCTCAGGTTTTACTATATTGAAAAGCAGAGAAAATCTCATCTTTGTTTTGCGGCTAGGATGTGACAGTTTCCTACAGTGGACTGTATAAAATAGCACTGAAAGCTACAGCATTGATTAACTTGATCCTAAATCGTGCAAAAGACACACAGAGAGGCAGCAAGAGGATGGGCTGAACCTAGAGGCTGTGTTGGTGAGGTGTGTGAAGTGCCGGAAGAAGGGCAGCGCAGGCAAGGGCAGCCGATGCTGTGCTGTGAAGTAGGTCAGGCTGGAGCTGCTTGTTAAGCATACTGCCACTTGGCTGTGTTTACATAACGAGTGAAAGCAATTACATTATGACTGTTTCCAGCATATATACACACTGAGCGTGTATATATACACAACCATTTAGTTGTGCTCCTCTCAGGCAGATTTCAGTAAAGATCCATGGCTTTCTTTGATTTAAATCACTTAATGGGGTAAGCGCAAATAAATCCCTGCAGGCAGGAACAGAATTTTCCTGGGTTTTGTGTTCTCATGTGTGAGAGTGTCCCCACGCTCACATGAGTGTGTAGAGAGTCCTAGTCTCTTTACACACTCACATAGGTATGCTTCAGTTTTTGTGGGTGACTCCTTCTGAGGGACTGAAATTTGGATGTCTGGCTCCTAGGGATTTCCAGTGTGCTGCAGTCACTGCAGGCATGAAAGCTGTAGGCTCAGAGTGTTGGGGGACAGGTTCCTGTAGGAGGAAGCCGTAAATCAATATCCTGTGCAGGGTGCTGCCCTATTTCACTTCTCCAGTAGTGTACTGTACCTGAATGATGCTGGAAATGGTTTTTAGAAGGGCAGAACGCGAAATGGAGGGTGTAAGGGGGGAATGTGTATATGTTCAATATGAATATAATGATCTTTGGTGTATGGAAGGTGTTTAAATGGTTCAGAGAGATGTGAGTTTCTCATATTGTGTCATGAGCATTACCTGTATGTTATGATGAAATAAAATCATAAATGGTACCTGTTTATACAGAACAGGAAGGAGCCTGTGTGTGTCTGGCTGCGGAGCACCCGCTGCCTGCCTACAGCAGGAGTGCTAACAGCAGCCAGGGCTGGCAGGGTGCATCCCTGCTGTGTGCATCCTCTGCAGCTGTGCCTGTTCATGGACAGCACAGACCAGGGGACACTGTGGCTGTTCCTTACAAACCGATGATCTCACAGTTCCAGCCTCTCACCTGTTCCTGCTTACCCCTTCTGCTCCCTTGAAGAGCGGTAATGGCACTTTCCTTTCTCTTGCCACTTTTCATGCTGGAGAACTGAACTGCATGGTCTCACACAACAGCAGTTGTCATTACACTGTTCACAAAACAGCAGCACTGGCTTTTCTAGAAGCAAGAATTTCGGCTTGTTCATTTTACCTGGGACACACCGCATTTTTTCTTGTCTCCCATACTTCTTACTCGAACAGCGTAATTACACTCATACTTGCGATGGAATCTGCCTGTCCTGAAACATTCAGAACAGCTTTCAAATACTGAGGGAGGTTATGCCCCTCACTGCTCCTTCAGAGAACAGCTTATACAAAAGTAGCGTGTATTAGAAAAAAGTCCTGCAGCAGAGTGTGGGTGCCAAGGCTTTATCCTTAAAATGGCATCAGCTTGCTGTCCTACAAAACAGCCCTCCCCTCTCACCCCTGCCAGCAGACAGCTCTTCACAGAGAGTCTGAAGACTAACTCCAAGAACTCAAGAGGCAACAGAAATTTGCTGTTCAACAAGATTTAATTTTTGTTTCACTGACTGCTGAAGGCGTCCTGAGGTCACTGTGTTCTTGATTTAACCATCACAGTTAAATTCCTGGAGTGGACTGAAAACAAGATTTGGCCAGCCTTACTTTTGATGGGGCAGTGGAGGTTATGAAAAAGAGCATAAATGCTGTTCTTGCTGACTACAAGCTCATCTGCTAGCTGCTCCTTACACTTGGACTCACAGCACAAGCTTTAAATCATTCCTAACAAAAAGTGGTGGTACGTTGAGAGCCCAGAACAGCAGGCCTGGCCATTCTCGAGTTCTAAAAAGGCCATTATTGGCCCGTCTGAGATCTGAAATTTCTGAGATTCAGGAAAACTTATCTAAATATGCACTTCAGTAAGACAGCCATACCTAGTTAGAACATCAGATCATTTAAAAAGCATCTCTATGCATTTGCATCTCCCCAGGTGCAGGAGAAAAGACCATCACCTCAATGCTTTCTCAACAGCAGGACGATTCTGCTGCCAGAATTCTGCTGCCAGTTCTCCGCTAAATCTGCTCCTCTGAATTTCTTTCTGAATGGCTTTCCCTGCAGGAAGCAGCCACTGATACACCAGGGATGTTCTTATGACATTGACCCACAGCTCCTGTCCTGGGGGAAGAGTGTGCAGACCTATCTCAGGGCCAGGGGCAGTATCTCACTGACTCCCTGACTCAGCACAGGGGTGGACAGCCAGCTCAGCTGCAGCCCCCCCACTAGCACAGCACAGCATCACTGTACACATCATTCACTTGAACTGCATACCTGTGTCAATCCCAGCTGGAACAGCGTCCAAAGATACCGGCTGTTTCATTCTTGGACACACACCTCCTTACCATCACCAGGCCACCTCTGGGGCACAAACAGAACAGGAAAGCTGAGGTACGACTGAGCACAGTCCCCAGCCTTCACGGCAAGAAGCAATGTATGTGAACAACAAGCAAGGCACTTGGAAAAGAGCAATACCAAACATTTTAATGTTGGAGCTGGAACATATAGCACACATGCAGCTGTATACAGAGCAAGTCAGTGAAGAGGATGATAATGCACAGATCAAGGGTCACTGGAGCACAAGGCTCACAGTCAGATCACAGGCCGGCAGCACAGGATGCAGAGGGAAGGTACAGCACTGCTGCACAATACCAGTGGAATGCCAGCCGATAGGGCAAAGGGCCTGTGGATGTGCCTATTTCTGCTCACTCTGTGTAAAAGCCTAGAGGAAGGGACAAACCTTTTAAATATTTAAATATGTTTAAATATATATAATTTAAAATACATTTATTAAAAACAACAACAACAAATTTTCTGTCCCCTTCACTGGATTTTCACAGAAACTGACCAGCAGATAGGTTGGTACTTCAGCACCCTGACAATGCATTAAATTAGAGAAAAGACAAAAGTTAACAAAGGAAACCACTTCCTCCAGTGCAGTACTATACAGTGCTGCAGCATTTTGTGCCACAAGCACACAAGGCAGCAAAGGAATTGGAGCAGCTCAGGCCCCTGAAGAAACACAGCCCAGGGCCTCACTTCACTCTCCAGCTTTTCAGGTTTTACACCAGCAGGCTTTGTCCGCATCTGCCTCGCATGAGTTTCATTTCCCATCACAACCAGAAATGGGAAGAAATGCTTCTTTTGAGAGGACTGCGACAGATAATTCTGTTCAAAACACTAACAATCTGTCCTTCGTGTTAAAAGTAGCAGTACGGTTACAAGAGAGACCTGAGTTTTCTCCACTACTGACTGGCTCAGGAAAGGAAACGTGTAGGCAGAATAGTCATAGTCACGTCTCACATCCCTGCTGCACGGAGTGAGAGAGTAAAGCAAAGTCTCACCTTGAGCATCACCCACTCCTAAGGTGAATTCAAAAGCAGCACACAGGGCAGCCAAGCAACAGCAACATGCAGCAGAAAAGGGCTTCCCTTCAGCAAGAGATCTAAGAATGATGGTGATAAAGCTACTGACGATGCTTTAAATAGAACTGTTAGCCATCCCTTAAGAACAGAGGATACGGGAATTTTGCAGGACATGTATGAGATCTGTTGAATGGAAGTGATGGACCTGTGTTCTTTGGAAGAGGCTGACATTTCAATCCTGATTTCCTTCTAGTTAAGTTATAATATCTATTACAATTTACGCTTGCTGTTCAGGAGTCACTAGCTGGGAAACCCAGCAGTGTACCCAGAAGCTTAAAAGGCAGTAAGCGCATAGGAGTACACATTTTCTCCCATTATCAGCCCAATAGGGAGGCAAATAAGAAACCGATTTGCAGCCCTTGCTCCTTCACGTTCCGGACAGGAGCACTATTCTCTCATCTGCATCAGCACTGCAAGGAACAACGCTTTCATCTGATGCATAACAGTGTAAGGAAAACGTCCAAAGCTTTACATCAGTGAGCATCCACAACCTTGCCCCTGCTGGCAGATCTGGTATCTAGATCTACACCTGGCCTAAGCTGCCTGCGCTCCAGGGCACAGGGAACCTCACACTGGATGGAGACAGCAGCTGAATGCTACACTTTATGCACTTCCAAGCAGCTTGGTCTGGACAAGGAGGACAGAATGCCTGCACAGCTATTTCAAGTTACTGACTACTGAACCATGTCTGGTGGCAGGCGGCAGAGAATGTCTCCAGGAAGGATGGTAAGGATACTCTTGGCATGACCATGGGAACCAGGTTGTCACAGGTTGCTCCCGTAAGCATCAACGTTTTGTTTTTTTTTAAAACAAACCAAATGTAAAATACTGCAAAACACAAGAGCATAGGTGGGAGTCTGCTCTTCACATTGTTATATTCTGTATGCACAACTACGCACCAGCTCCACAGTGAGAGCAGTAAAGAAATGGGCTCACTGCTGCCCTTCTCAGAAGATATTCTGTTCACATCTTTGCCAATAGTTCTTCACCACGCATGGTCCAGAGGGCCTCACAGCTATGGTACTCCATTCTCAGCAATGCTCACAACCCCCCCCCAGTCATGTTTCAAACACAGACCTGTGCTGGCTGCAGCATGCATTACAAAAAGGGCTATGTGGCCTCTGGTAGTGAAGCAAAACTAGCATCCTGTTGCTCACTGCCTCCAGGAGCCATATACACTATCAGAAACCTATGATGCTGTCACACTCGAATGTCTGGAGACAATCTTTTGCTGACTAGGTACACTCATACGCTACAAGCTATTCCAGGAAGTCCCAAAGCCTGTACTGACAGACGGGTTGTGGCAGGGATTCCCTCGAAGTCTGGGATGACCACCTCTGAAATAAAACAACCATTCAAGTTCAGCCTCCTCACCAGCAACAGCATTCTGGGAGGTCTATAATGAACACAAACCTACCACTGGCCCAGCAAGCCCGAGGCTTCCTGCTTCTGCTTTCAGGCTCTTTCTGCTGGGATAAGAGCTGCTGTGCAATTGCAGTGCAGGCTGCTTGAACACCGTTTCTAGATGTGTAAATATTTCACAACAGTGTGTAAAATATCCCATTTTATACGGAGAGAAACCAAAGCCTGTGGCAGCAGCCCAGTAGCAGACTTGGCAGTCTGCAGTTCCCCAAGTCCCAGAGCAGTGCCTCAGCCCCATGAGCAGGCTGTGGACTGTCCAGCTGGGGCTCAGTTCACAGGAACGCAGGAACATCCTGTTGCCTTTGGAGCAGTTTGCAGAGCATGATCCCAAAGGGCCGTGTGGTTTTAGTCATAAAACACCACGCTCAGGCAAGCTCTCAGCATGACGGCAGTTCAGCCAGCACAGAGTCGGAAGGACTTTTCAAGTCTCCCCTCCAACTGCATCCCTCTGGTATAAAAGAGCACCAATAAATAAAAAAATACACAAGATCCGATCCCTTGTATCCAAATAGGCAGGTACCAGCATCTGTTAGAACTGCACTGCAAAGTAAGGGACGTGAACAGCCATCAGCTAGGGCACAGGATGCTGCCAGGACAAGGGGAGAAAAACATTAAAGCTGCTCAGCAATAACAGACATATCTGTAGCAGTCATTCCTTCACAGCCTCATTAAATGAGTGAGCCCATATAAACAAAGAGCCTCAAGAAAGGACATGCCAAAATCCTGACATGCAAACTGTGTTAATTATGATAATAGGCAGATTTTAATAAGCCAGTTCCTGGATCCCACACTTTCACCTATGAAACATACATATTTCCAAGGGCAGAGGATCTCAAAAATACTTGCCAGCCATCTAACTCTCTAAACCCTAGCAGCACAGAAAGCATGCTAGAGGGTTTGTCACACCCCATATCCCATTGAATTCTTCTAATAAAAAGAATGGATAAATGAACTCCTCTGAAACCCACATCTAGTTACAGCAACGAAACAAACATCTCAGCACAGGTGGTGGCAGCGGAAGAGGAGAGAGCAGGGCAGGTAGAGAGAGATGAAAGCACAGTTAAAGTGTTCCTCTCCAAACAGTGAGACCAGGGGAGCTCCTGGATTTCTGGCTACACAACCCCGGCAGCTGGGGCTGTTCCTCCTTTGGTGCCCTAACAGAAAGTCAGACAACACGGCTGTCCACTCCGGCCAGTCTGGAGGCACTCGTGTGCCAAGCACTGGGGTGCAGGAGGTGGAGGGAGCTGCAGCAGCTAGGACTTTATCTCCCGGTCGGGTTTCATGCTGAAGGGCTCCAGCTGCTCATTCTCAGGCAGCATGCTGTTCAACCTCTCCATCAGCGGGACAGTCTGGTCAATGCCCATCTGAATACGGCGGAGGATGGCAGACATCTCGTTGACCTTCTGGATCTGCTCCGCATACTTGGCGTACTTCTTCTGTCGCTCCTGCATGAAGCTGTAAAGAGTTTCCACTGAGAGGTCCATCTGTTTAAAAACAAGCAGAGAAGCCAGCCATGTTAGGCCAGCTGTTACATAGATCTTACAGCACAGCACCTCCCCTACAAGCGTGTCAGACACCCCGCTGGATCTACCGGCCCGGTACAGAAGATCCTCTACTGGTGCTCAGCCAGTTTGCCACAAAATGGGATAAATTATAACTGTACGTGGAGGACATGCAACCATCTATACACCGATTATTGGATGCACTGGATCATGCATGATATCCAAACACAGGGAAACCTCTGCCCACACCTTCGTATTTTTGGTAGAACTTGTTCACTTTCAAGTATTAACTTTATCTGCCAGTAGTAACACCACTGGCTTCAGCAGGTTGCTCTATGACTGTTATTGCCATCATCAGCTGCAAAACTCCTGTCTTGAGAAAGAACCACAACAGATTAGTAGTGTCCCTAATTTCCCTGAATCCTAAAAATAAAAGTGTTATGAATGACCCCAGGAGAGACATTAGGTAAATCAGTCATGCAATTAAGCACGGTAAGTACCTAAACACAGCCAGAGAGTTATGACAATGACAGGAACTGCACTGCTATTCCTGCCATTGAACTACGGAGGTAGCTTTTGTAATTCACAGCTCAACTTTCCCTACAGCTAGCTTGTAAGCTCCAAGGAGGATTCAGCTGCTAGCACCACACCACAAACACATCAGCCAACTCAGACTGTTTAAGCTGTTCACCGCTCTGTGAGATATGCCATATATAAATCTCTCATTCACAGAGCCTGGTACGTAACAGATTTATTCCGTTCTCTAAAAGCACACTGAAAACTCAGCTACTTCACCTTGCTGTAGCTGTGTTCAGCAACCCCACTCGTCCCACAGCTGGTATATCTGAGCTGCAGGCATCCATCTCAGAACCAAGATAGAGCTCTTAGCACAGACAAAAATGTTAGCAGTGCAGTACTACTAAAAATCCCACTGCTGCCTTGGACAGCATTTAAACAGCAGGTGTAAAAGTGACCCAGCAGTGATTTGGAGACACAAGGGGGAATGGGCAGCAAGGGGAAGAGGTTCAAGGAGAGGTGCAGGGCTGGAGAGGGAGCTGCACTGCTGACAAACATTGCTCTCAGGCCCTGGGGAAGGAGTCAAGACAAAAAAAAACGGTGAGAAACTGTTTTATTGAGGAACCAAAGTTACAAGCAACATTAAAAGCAAACAGACAAGTTTCCACTAAATTGTCATGGGGATTAGGAAGACTTTTTTTTTCCTATCACCTCCATCAGAGCTGGATACAGCACCAATTAACCTTTTATTTCTTCTATATTTTCTGGTTTTCTCAGGCTGAATTCTTCTTCTTTGCCTCTGTGCCTTCCTATGAATTCCTCCCTCCATGCTTCCATGCATGAAAAAACATAAACCCAGCAGTGCAGGAAACTCCAAATGGAGTGGAAACAATTTAAGCCTACATAGGGGTTTCTATTAAAACTCCAGCTTAATAATTTAGGAGCTTGGCACTAGCTCTGTAAATCAGAGCGTGTAAAAGCAGACCACCAGCAGGTCTGCACAGGATGGAAGTAAATCCAATCCAATACCTAAAAATGTCCTACCTAACAAGAGCCAATGTGAAGCAGCAGCTAGCGCAGAGAAGCAGCCAGCTGAACAGCAGCATAGGGATCAGAGCAGAAACCTCCCTTGCTTCAAAGCCTTCCTCTCCAGGTAGGTTCCTCACATGGCCCCACAGCTCTATGCAAGGGCAAAGCAGGCATCCATCCAGCTTTGGAATAACAAAGCCCCCTTTTTACCTCCAGCAATTTCATTTGGTGACTTTTAGGCTCCTCATGTAAATCCCAGTGATGTCCACTTGCAGAGGGGAGCATGGAGAGAAGCTGGAGGGGAGGGGGAGCAGAAAAAGAAGAAAAGCAGAGTAGCCTTCCAAGATACTTTTGGCCATGTTCACAGTAGCTCTATAAAAGCTGCCTCACAAAATAGAGAAAGGCTGTAAGTGAGCATTTCCTATGGTTTCCCTACACCTAGCATTACAGTTCATCTGCTGTGAGAGGCCACAGCAACTGCAAAGCCTGTGACGCTGCAAGAAAGTCTGAGGTTGAGTAATCCTGAGGAAAGGCTAAGTTATACCCAGGCTGAACTTGGTCTTTTTAAATAGTAAAAGAAAAAATGTGGTGGGCTAACTCTTGCATCTAAATGCCAGTGAGTCTTTGCAGTCCTTCTTGACGCAGGCATAAAAACACATCAGCATTCTTGGTGCCTCCTGCTGGAAGCAGGCTCCCTCCAGGGCCAAACCTTGTGCTGTCACCTCCCTCGTGCACACAGTGCTGCTTCCCATCTCCTTAGTTCCACATGGCAGCAATAAAAAGCACCTAGAGAGGTAGCTGAGGCCAGTCCACACTCTCCAAGACACATCCCAGGGGCAAGGTCAAGGAGTTGCCCTCTCCGAGCACATCCCCCATCTCCCATGGCCCAGACCCAAGGCCCTCCTGCAGGTCTGATAGGGGCTGAGGTCACCATCTTCTTGCCTGCCCCAGGCTCAGCAGTGCTCTGGGAAGGCCAGCAAGATACTGCAGGGCCAGTGGCTCATGGCAGTCCAATACACATGCTACACAATTTTTGCACAGCCAGTGACACTTTAGAACATAAATGGATCCAAATCCTAAACCCATGACTCATCCAAAGACAGTCGCAGCAACACAGTCATTTATGTCTGTCTCAAATTCTTAAATTTGAAATGCTATCTACTGGGTTTTTCCTTCAAATGAAAACAAACCCATAATGACTTCCAATATCACTGGAGATGGATGCCCCCCCGGTCAGAGGCCTCTACTGCAGCCCCTCCCAGATGGGCACCATTCACACTGTGGCCAGGAAGGGCTAAGAGGCTACATAGGCTGTCCAGCACGCTGCTGGAACAAAAGCCAGTTGAGGGTATTTTCAGACATCTTGCACACCACAATTCTTGCATTTATTTTGGAATTCTTCTTGGCCCACACTGCTGAGCAGAATAAAGATACGAATTTGAGCACACAAAAGACTGCACTGGGCACCAATCAGTTCTTTTTCACAGATGATGCTAAGAACAAAACCATGCCCTAAGTGCACCTCTTACCTAGTGTGGTTTCATACTAACCCTGTCATGGATATTACGTGCTCTGAGTTTTGGGAAACCATGGTCTCATCTTGTTAACTCAGTGACTGAAATGGTAATTGGGGCACGATCCTTGTTGCAGAAATTTCTCTTGCTTAGAGCCTTGCCCCCTGCACAAGCGGCTTCTCCTTTTGTATTGGCAGGTGCCTGGTGAGGCTCAAATGAACATCTTCCTGCAGCTGCACAACCATACCTGAAAATGACAGGCACGAACATGACTCCATGGAACATTAGTCATCATGCACTGGTGTGAAAATACTTCTCAGCCAGTGCACTTAAAGCTGAAAACACTTTGTCTGTGCTGGCTGAAATGTATGGCTTTTCTTTCACCTTCCTTTTTGATAATGTCACACAGAGTGAGCACAGTAAATTGTGACAACTATCTGATGCTGGGAACACTGATTCTCCCAGTTATCTCCCACACTGATAAGCAATAAGTGGGCCGCTTCTTTGCCAAGGTAGATAACAAAGACTCGCAGCTAAGGATCCCACATCCTTCCCTTAAGGACCAATCATGAGCACAGTTCTCATGAGTACTGCTCCTCTGCACCACTTTAAGGTAAACAACTACAAACTTGTGTTTAAGTTTTGCTTAAACCTGATCTGATGTACCAAAATGTTTCTTTTGTAATTTGCCACCGCTGTAAACAGCTGCTAAGGAGTTACTCAGAATGTGCACTGTGCAGATCACAGTCAACTCAAAGAATGAAGAGTCATCATTTTAACTGTCTCTAACACAAAATTTTTGTAACATTAGCAGAAATGCCATGACCCAGTGAGCACCGCCACAGAAATACACTTCAACAAATCTTCTACAGCTAAATATGTAACAGGTCTCTTAGCACTACTGTAGATAACCCCAGATCTTGATTTTATAGATGTATACCGCCTGTTGTGGGAGATCTTGGGTTGCCTCCCAAAATTTGGAGAAGAATTTGGAATTAAAAAGAATCAGAAGGTTCATTCTTGAAATGAGCTTTTCCACCTTTATGTAAGCCCGTTCTTGACTGTTGTGCCATTGTACAGGATAAGTGTGTTGCTGCCCCACATGCTGACCTGCACAGCCCACATTCCAGCTCAAGCCATCTCTGCTTGAGAGCTACTAATACCCCTCCGCTATCTGTCTGACCCACAGACTTGAGCTGTGGCTGCTACTGCTAACCACTGCTATAAAAAAAAAGTCACAGAATCATAGGGGTTGGAAGAGATCTCTGGAGATCACCTAGTCCAACCCCATCCTAAAGCAGGTTACCTGCAGTAGGTTGCATAAGAGAGCATTTGTATTGCTTCCAAACAACAGGCAAAAAAGCCCAGCACAGCTCAGGGTCATGGAAGTGGAATCAGACTAGATTTGTCCTGTCTGTGGGCCACAGTCGGTACCATACTGCCTTCACGATCCCATCTCCAACAGCTCTGCTACAGTTGTGCATTCTGGTGGGCAAAGAAGCTGAGTGGTGCCATATGCAGGCACAAGACAAAGACCATCTGATACTTGGTGAGGTTGAACAGTTATCTCGAGTGTTCCGATCTGCAGCTGGAAAACACTTAGGTTATGGCCTGCAGAGCCTGGCTCCGAAGCACAGCTTCCCACCTGAGGTCTGGGCTGCCTTTTACCAACAACATCCAGAAGATCTCAAACTCTTGCTCTAATGAGAGACTGAGAGGATCTACAGCAACAAGTGGTGGGAGGTGCTTGCTTGCAGGAGAGAGCACTGTTGTGGGCTTCTTGTGTATGAACACACACAATGTGGTAGACATGTTAAGGGCACTGCAGTTGTGCCTCAAAGACCCCACAGTGTTTTGTCATGTGAGGGGGCTCAGCACCACAGTCACAGTACAGCCCTGAGATCCACCGACAGCAGGTCCACT